CCCCAAAACCCCAAAACCCCAAAACCCCAAAACCCCACTAAGCTTAAATTTGATGAAAATATGATTTACTGAATGAAATTATATAATCTTTTGAACACTCATCATTATTAAATTTGGTAATTACTTTTAATTCATTAATAACTACCAGGTTTCCCCTAACTATTAAAATTGCTGTTATAAGCATAAGCCCCGCCTAAACTATTTAGACCTAATGTTGAATCTAAACCTACTCCTCCTTTTGACCCTGAAGCATTTTGATACTGCTATCTTTAGAATTGTTATTGTTGGAATTACTGCTAAAACATCTATTGCTGTTACTGTTATGAATATTGTACTTGCTGATTAGTATTCGATCCGATAATGATACAATCGTCATTTTCTTCATCATCATCATCGTCATCATCTTAGTCATCATCATCTTCGTCATCATCATCCTCATCATCATCCTAGTCATCATCCATGTCGTCCAAATCCTCTCCTACTCCCCCTCTGTTTCTCATTTCTTATAATGCTTACTGATTTTTGACTTCCATCGTATGATAATACTCATTAAAGTCAAGTCTGCATAATAGATATTTAAGATTTGTTTAACTCTATTGTAAAAGACTGTCTTTGAAAGTTTGGATTTATTTCAAAAATTCAAAATGATTTTTCCTCATTTAGTCTATGCTCTGCACTCTAATCTTGGATTTAAGGTCATCCTCATCCAGCATATTTGGATCTATCTATTGATTATTCATGATTCTCTCATATTCATCAATGGCACTTTAGTAAAAATGCTTGTCTTTCATATACGTGAATGAGTAAACTAATTAAAGAAGTTTTTGAAGTGTTCTATATAGCTAGTTGTTCTTATCGTTTAGCAGAGCCTTGTCAAGGATTGAATTGACAAATTTCTTCTGATATTCGATGAGTTAGTCTAGATCTTGAGCTTGCTTCATGTCATCTTGGAATATTTTCCATTAACTTTCAAGGACTTCAACCATAATATAATTGTGGATGTTAGATACGAAATGAACCATCTCATGATGATAAAGGTTGAATTTATGGAAAACATCTCTCATTCCCTTGATCTTCTCGAATTTATCAGAATGCTCTTAGTTCTTACGCCACAACTAGGATAATAAGTATTCAATACGCTTTAATCTCCACAAAAAGTTAAAAACCTTTTTGTAGCTTTACATAATATCCTCTGTAAATACTGTTGACAATGGGGACAGATCATTCACTCTATAGTCAAGCATGAATATTTCCCAGCCCTTATCTCCTGGAGAACTTTCTAGTAATCTAATATCTAGTCTGTTAAGGAATTCTGGATCATGATACTGAGCATTGCTAGATCTTATAGCAGTTTCAAGCTAGCCCATTAGTTGATGTCTATAGATCTAAGCTGCAGAATTGTTCAATTCATCTGACAATAAATCCATTAAATATTGCATAAAGTCTCCTTGTCCCATCAAAAGATATTTTCTTATACTGTTACAATGACCCTCAAATTTATACTTGGTGAATAGAATCTTTAAGAGTTGTTAATTGGTGACTTAATAGGCGTGATCTACCCAGTTCTTAAGGTGCTAGAAGGTGTCCGAAGCTGAACCAACTAAAAGTGTACTTGTCTCAAATGGCAACTACAAAGAAATGTCTAGAATCCAGTCCTGCTCTTAACAGCATCTTCTTATAAAATTGACAGCTTTACCTGTTAGAAGAATCTTATGAGCAAGGGCGTTTGTAAGGAATGATGGAATCATAATATAATTGAGTTTATATTTTTCAGTCCATAATTTATCATCGGGGACTATTGGGTCAACTTCTACAAAGAATTCTTGAAAAGGGTCATTTATTTCGCCCTCTATCATCCATTATTTTATCATATTTAGGATAGGTGATGAAACTTCCTTAAGAATTCTACTAATGAATTGCTTGGTTGAGGGACTTCCGTTTAAGACATAACTGTTAATTGCTGAGCAAACAGCTCCACCTCTTAAGTTTTAGACAGAATCAATGATAATTGCCAACCATTTCATTCTTTCTAATGGCTCTTGAATCCATAAGTATAGTTTCTTAAGATTTAAATAATTAGCAGGGTCTTCTTGACTATACTTAGTCTTTTAAGATTCAAGTATAGCTATTAACCTATAATACTCAGTCAATTCACTTTGAATAGCAAATGTTAAGCTCTGGGTTACTTGATTGATATGAGATTAGGTCTCTTGATTTCTGCTGAGCCATTCATATACCTTTTTAAAGAGCCATCCTAGCTCACATAACTCATTTATAATCTTTCTTGTTGAGGGACTAACAATACACGAAGGAGAAAGGATAAATGAATCTTCCAGCATTGAATATTAAATGTGCTGGCCTTAAATGCCTTAGAAAACATAGATCAAATCTCTTACAATAGTATCTTCATTAATTTCCCCTGAAATTGAATTATAGCGCATATTTTTAAGATAGTCAAGCTGCTTTTGCTTGGTCGATTGAGATTTAGAGCTAGAGTCTTTCATTTCAATGTCTAAATTTCCTGCAGCTTTATCTCTCTTCCTAAACAAAATGAATTAGTTTAGATATGTACTTGTTTTATGATGGTTGATAGTCAATCTTGTTTATGATTTTATTATTGAAAACTGATTCAAGAACTCCACCTGAACTTTTGGAGTTATTCGCTCCCTCCCCTGACAGCTATAGTAATAGGTGAAGCATCTCAGTCGATTTATTAAGGGTTCTGTTTTTCTTAAACTTTTGGAATAAATTTTCAAAGCGTTAAGCCTCTTCTCCAATGCTTGATCTGGGGTTATTAGGCTTTGGTTTGCTTGTGACTATAAAATTGAGGCAAAATCTATCTTACCTTTTTTAAGTAATAATTGTCTTAGATGATCGTGATCTGCGTTCTAATAGCTAGATTGGAGCCTTGAAGATAAAATTCTGAGGAAGTATTGGACGAATTTCTAAATCTGGGCATCCGATGCATTTCCAGGTAAGTAGTAGGTAACTAGGTCTTAAAGACTTTTGGCAATTATAAATTATCCAGTGACAGGGTTTTCCATTTTAAATTCAAATATTAATTTAAAATTCACTATTTTATTATTTTTTATCAACTTATTGATCTCCTGGGGTTTTGGGGTTTTGGGGTTTTGGGGTTTTGGGGTTTTGGGG